CACACACACACACACACACACACACACACACACACACACACACACACGAGTGGGTTATTATTCAGTCTTTAAAAAAGAAGGAAACCTGGAGGACGTTATGCTAAGTAAAATAAGGCAGACATAGAGGTCATACTGCATGACCACTACGTGAAATCTAAAGAAGTCAAACTCCTAGAAACAGGGTAGAAAGGTGATTACCCGGAGCCAAAGGGTGAGGGAAATAGGGAGATGTTGGTCAATGGTATATCTTTGCTGTTATAAGATGGCTGAGTTCTGGAGACCAGATGTATGAAATGGTGACTATAGTTAATGATGTACTGTATACCTGAAATTTTCCAAGACAGTGCATCTTACACACAAAGCGATTAAACAAAGGGATGGATATGTTAATTAGCTTGACTGTGATAATTTCACAATGGATAGGTAGATCAAAACATTATGTTGTATACCTTAAACATATATAATTTTTATTATTTGCCAATTACACCTCAATAAAGCTGGAAAAAAATGCTTTAGAAAAACAAAACTGGCCGAGTGTGGTGGCTCATGCCTGTAATCCCAGCACTTTGGGAGGCCAAGGTGGGTGGACTGCTTGAGGTCAGGAGTTCAAGACCAGCCTGACCAATGTGGTGAAACCCCATCTCTCTACTCAAACTACAAAAATTAGCTAGGTGTGGTGGCAGGCACCTGTAATTCCCAGCTACTTGGGGAGCTGAGGGTGGAGAACTGCTTGAACCTGGGAGGTGGAGGCTGCAGTGAGCTGAGATTGTGCCACTACACTCCAGCCTGAGGAGACAGAGTGAGGCTCCATCTCCAAAAAAAGAAAGGAATTACAAAAGGAAGCAAGGGAGAGAATAGATGTAATAAGAATAGCAAAATGGTGACAATCATTGAAGCTGAGTGGTAGGTACACAATATCTTAATCATAGCACTCTATTCCTGGATATGACTGAAAATCCATAGTGAAAAGGTTTTTAAAAAGAAAGTAAAATTTCCATATGAGAGCGTGAAGCAAGGAACTGTACATGTCAGGTATAGTAGAAAGAAAATCTCTCTTGAGGATTTGCATACACAAGTGCTCTCTTTTAGGTTTCAGTCCAAATTCATTTGTGTAGTTCAAACAACCTCAAGAGAGTAATTTCACTTAAAGAGGGTCCTAAATGGCATTGTCCCCAAACAACTAGTGCAAGCAAGTGGATCTATCTCTGGAAAATCAACTTTAATTCAGGTCTTGAGAAAAAATCTTATATACAAAGTTCTAAGTACACTGAGGAAGGCACAGTTTAAGATATTGTGAAACACAAATACACAATGTACCATGTGTAAGACACAGCTAAACCACAGGTATCAGGTGATAAAAAGCGTAACACTTCAGATATTACCCTTTTAGACAAAAAACATTTTTTAAAAATAAAGTCTTAAAGAATTAAATTTGAACGGATATGGAACAAGATGCTGTAAGATGGTTAGTTTTAAAAAACAATTTTTAGAAATGAAAAACTCACTGAAATGAGAAATTCAATGCCAGTATTAAAATACCAGATTAGAACTTTGATAGCACTATTAGATGAAAACCTAGCAATTTTCTTGAATTAGTGAAAGATACTAACCTTTGGGTATTGGAAGTATTGTAAGCCCCAAGATAAATACATAAAAAGAAATCCACACCTAGTTTGATTATAGATTTTTCTTCCTTGGTATTTGACTTTTTCCGCACAATTTTCAAAGCAGCCAGGGGGAAAACAGGTCACCTATAAAAAGAAAAACAAACTGATAACTGACTTCTCAACACCAGCAACGGACATCAGAAGAAAGCAGGACAATGTCTTCAGTGTGCTGAGAAAAAAATAACTCATCAACCTAGAATAACAGACAGTTAAAACTATCTAGCTATTCGTTATAGGAAATACAAAGCAATGAAAACAAACCACAGTCAGCAAAATCTGTATATGATGTGGGACATTTTAACAAGTAATTTTATTTCTTCAATAAATCAAGGGATTAACAAATGAAAAGGGAACAGGATACAACAGAAACTTAAGGGATATATATATAAACAGAACAATGTGGGACGCTGTTAAGATCCTCATTTGAACAAACCAAATGTAAAAAGATACTCTGTAGACAATCAGGGAAGTCAGACTTTGTAGGTGGGATAATGGAGTAGTGGTGATGAACCAACTAGAGATGTACAGTTAAGAATTTACTGATGGCTGGGTGCAGTGGCTCACACCTGTAATCTCAGCACTTTGGGAGGCTGAGGCAGGTGGATCAGGAGGTCAGGAGATCGAGACCAGTTGGCCAAGATGGTGAAACCTCGTCTACAAAAAGTACAAATATAAGCTGGGCACAGCGGCAGGTGCCTGTAATTCCAGCTACTCGGGAGACTGAGGCAGGAGAATCATTTGAACCCAGGGGGCGGAGGTTGCAGAGAGCCAAGGTTGTGCCACTGCACTCTAGTCTGGGTGACAGAGCAAGACTCTGTCTCCAAAAAAAAAAAAAAATTACTGGTGAAATGACAGGATGCCTGAAATTTGCTTTAAAAACAAATGGGGGAGGGGAACCTAACAGCATTGTCTGATAATATTTATTTGCAGTATCTAATAAAGTAACCACTAGTCATGTATGGATAGCTAATGAACACTTGAAATGAGGTTAGTGTTAAATTTTAAGCATTTAAACTTCAATAGCCACACAAGGCTAGTGGCTACTATATTGGACAGCTGAGGGCTAGATGATACAAGATGGGCAAAATACTGGTAACTGTTGAAACTGGGTGTTAAGGACATGAGAGAGTTCATTATATAGGCTCTCTGTGTCTGCGGGCTACATGACCACAGATCAAAAATATGTAGAAAAAAAGATGAATGCCTGTTTTTATACTAAACATGTAGACTTTCCTCCTTGTCGTTACTCCTTGAACAATACAGCATGACTATTTATGGCCTGGCACAGTGGCTCACACCAGTAATTCCGGCACGTTTGGAAACTGAGGCAGAAGGATGCCTTGAAGCCAGGAGTTTGAGACTAGCCTGGGAAATTTTTTTTTTTTTTTTTTTTTTTAATTAGCTAGGTGTGGTGGTATATGTCTGTGGTCCCAGCTACTTGGGAGGCTGAGGTGAGAGGATTACTTGAGTCCAGGAGTTTCAGGCTGCAATAAGCTATGATCACATCACTGTACTCCAGCCTGAGCAAGAGTGAGACCCCATCTCTTAAAAAAAAAAAAAAAAAAAAAAAAAAAAAAAAAAAAAAAGGCTGGGCTTGGTGGCTCACGCCTGTAATCCCAGCACTTTGGGAGGCCAAGGCGGATGGATCACGAGGTCAAGAGATCGAGACCATCCTGGTCAACATGGTGAAACCCCGTCTCTACTAAAAATACAAAAAATTAGCTGGGCATGGTGGCGCGTGCCTGTAATCCCAGCTACTCAGGAGGCTGAGGCAGGAGAATTGCCTGAACCTAGGAGGCGGAGGTTGCAGTGGGCCGAGATCGCACCATTGCACTCCAGCCTGGGTAACGAGCGAAACTCCGTCTCAAAAAAATAAAAAAATAAAAATAAAATAAAATAAGAAAAAAGCCCAACCAACTACTTACACAGCACTTACATTGTACTAAGTATTTTAAGTAATTGAGGGATAACTTAAATGGGAAGGAAAAAATAGCATATATGGGAGGATGTGTGTAGGTTATATGCAAATACAACGCTATTTTAAATAAGGAATTTGTGACTGTGGAGTTCGGAAGCCATGTGGGGGTCCTGGAACCAGTCCCCCATGGATACGCGAGATAACTGTACTGTTCTATTTTTGAGGCAAATTAAAATTCTCATGATTAAAAGCTTAAAAAATATACAAGTAGAGTTAAATAAAGGCATTTTAAAATAAAGACCTGAGGCAACTTACCCATGGAAAAAGACCATCACTGAAGTAAATTAAAAGTACTTCAGGAGATAGGAACTGCAAGACCCAAAATATTAAGTAGAATGAACAAAAATGAAATAGGTAAAATTAAGGAAATTTGTTGTATATAAAATAGCAATAATATCAAATTTGTGAGATGGAAAAATAAGCTCAATCCTAATACTAAATAATATATAAAGCGGGAAGGAGGTGATTGAGTTGTATGCTCCTTGTGTTCTTCCACTGGGAACTCATAGTATTGATTAGCTTTAGAGTATAAATATGCATGATAAAATAGCTAGGGTAACCATTCAAATGATGGACATAGTGAGTTTAACTCACAGTCTAGAAAAGAAAATGAAATTAGATTAAAAAAAAAAACTCAACTCCAAAGGTAAGAAAAATAAGCGAAATGAAACAAAAAAAATTGGTCTAATGAAAAGCACAATATAAAATACTAGATGGTAGAAAATGTCTGATTGTTATCAATAACAGTAAGTGTACAAAAAGGCTAAATTCTGCAGTTTAAAAACAGACCGTCATGGTAGATTAAGATAAACTCCAGCTCTATGTTATTTCATTAGATGCACTAATATCCACAACGACACATAAAAACTGAGTCTCGGCTGGCTGCTGTGGCTCAAGCCTGTAATCCTAGCACTTTGGGAGGCCTAGGCGGGCAGATCACCTGAGGTCAAGAGTTCGAGACCAGCCTGGCCAACATGGTGAAACCCCATCTCTACTAAAAATACAAAATTACCTAGGCATGGTAGTGTACACCTGTAATCCCAGCTACTCAGGAGGCTGAGGCAGGAGAATCACTTGAACCCATGAGGCAGAGGTTGCGGTGAGCTGAGATCAGGCCATTGCACTCCATCTCAAAAACAAAAAACAAAACCAAAAAGAAAACTGACTCTCGAAAGTAAGAAAGACATACCAGGTGAATAATAACCATATAAAGTTTTGTTTGGCTAAATTAATTTCATACATTTTAAGACAAAGAGCACTACTAGAGGTAATGAAATGAGGATGTAAAGTACTAATTAATCAGGAAGATATAAAATTCTAGTCTCATAAAACTTATAAAGCAGAAGCAGCTACCACAATTAAAGGAGAAATAACACAAATCGGTATCACTATAAGAGACTTTGAAACACTGCTCAGCAATAGATCATATGAAAACAGGATATGAAGATTTAAACAATGAGTATACTTAATCTAACATACTTAGGAACACTACTGAATGTATGGAGTATATATACATTCTTTTGAAGTACACATGAAATGTTTATAAAACTTGACCATACTGTATGATGAATATACTGTAAAGCTAGTCTTAAACCTTTCAAAATTTGGTATTTAAAACATCACATGTGCCTGTTAAATATGCACACCTACTATGTGCCCACAAAAATTAAAAATAAGTTTAGAAAAAGATTTGGCATACGAACATGTTGTCTGACACGTGTTAATTACAATGTAATTAAGTTGTAAGTTAATAAAAAGATGTTGATGACTTTTTGTAGTTTAAAAATATCGTTGAATATTAGTGGTTTCATATTTTTCAAGCATACAAAAAAAAGTAACATTTGGAATTCAGAAAACATCGCATTTCCAAAGAACTTACTATTTTATTAGAAAATACATAATACTATGGTTATTGATTAGTTCTAAGTATCACAACTTGTAGGATGTAGCTAAACTGGTCCTTAGGAAAAAAAACAAGTGTTACATGTTTATACTAGAAAAGAAGTGAAGTTAAAAATTAACTTAAGCAGTTGGAGCTGGAATAGCAAAAATAATATGATGAACTAGAAAACAACAGTATCACTCAAGCTTCAAACTGGTTCTTTGCAAACTACTAGGAAAAAGATCAGGCAAAATTCTTCAAAGAAAAAAAGGAGAAACACAACTATAGATGTTACAGAGATTAAACAAGACATGAATAACTTCAATCAAATTCAAAACTCTCAGGAAATAAATTGATTTCTAAAGAAATACAACTCACCAAAACTGACTATGTAGAAATTACAAGAAAAAGAACTAGCTGGTGATGGCTGAATAACACTGTGAATGCAATTAATGCCACTGACTTATACAATTAAAAATGATTAAAATGGCCAATTGGCTTTAGGTATTTTACCACAATTTTAAGAATTTAAAAGAAAGAAGAATCTAGACTGATTCCATCAGCAAAGGCGCTAGGTCTTTCCCAGCTTAACTCACTGCCCAGACATTCTTTTAAAACAGAAAACAGCCGGGCGCGGTGGCTCAAGCCTGTAATCCCAGCACTTTGGGAGGCCGAGGCGGGTGGATCACGAGGTCAAGAGATCGAGACCATTCTGGTCAACATGGTGAAACCCCGTCTCTACTAAAAATACAAAAAATCAGCTGGGCATGGTGGTGCGTGCCTGTAGTCCCAGTTACTCGGGAGGCTAAGGCAGGAGAATTGCCTGAACCCAGGAGGTGGAGGTTGCGGTGAGCCGAGATTGTGCCATTGCACTCCAGCCTGGGTAACAAGAGCGAAACTCCGTCTCAAAAAAAAAAAAAAAAAGAAAACAAAAATAAAAAATAAAACAGAAAAACAAAACTGGATAAATTTAAGTTTTCACCAACAAACAACGTGCTCAAAGGCTTTTATCAGTCACCACTCAAAGATAAAAGAATTCCAGTCTGGATGAAAATCTTCCAGAGATTAGGCATACTTATGAAGATTCTGGTTACTTCAACTACACTTCAATGTAACTGGTCACTAATGTTTGCATTATATTAGGTATAGATAACTCATCCACTCTATGAGGCAAGAAGTGGGTATCTGGAAGTTTTATTTAATATAGCCTTTATGTAAACCCCAGAATTATGTATGATTCAAAATGTCATATTTGCATTTGATTATTCTACTACAGCAGTTTACAATGTTACAAGGGAAAAAAAACATGGTCACTTTTAAAGTAATTTCACAAAAACAGTTTGACTTATCAAAGGGATTACAGTGATTAAGAATATTAAAGGAAGAATATTCTTTGAGATTCGCATACTGATATCAAACATGACATGGTGACCATTGTAAGTAAACAAAATTATAGACAAATTTCAACAAACACAGATTCAGATATTATAAGGAAAATAAGTCCAAACAAAAAATATCAATAAATAGGATAGTACAACAGAATTAAGTTAGGTCTACCAGAGGCATCCAAGAGATGCTTACTATTAGAAAATAAATTAATATAATTTGCTTCATTAGAGCAAAAGAAAAACAGTATGATTAACTCAAAGTGATAAAACCAACATCACATAATGATTTCAAAATAAATTTTTTTCAGCGTAAAAACTTTCAGGCTGAATTTAATTCAGCCAGCTGAATTTTTTTTTTTTCCTTTTTTTTCTTTTTTCTTTTTTTTTTTTTTTTTTTT